GGATGTTATCCGATCTTGACCGCGATTTTTCCATTGTCGCTGGATGTATTATGTGCTTTATCATTTCTATGTGAATAACTCTCGCATATGGCATCTTGCATTTGTCCACGTCCAGTCGGTGGGTCGAGCAAACTCTTTGTTCCGGAAGAGCAAGCAGTTTTACGAAGATTTCTATTTTCCGGCCACTCGTGCATCGTCGTTTTCAACGACGATTTAAAATACTATCCATCGAATATGAAAAGAAAAACTGTCAATTATCAGCTGGGAAATCGAATTTTGGAAGCCAGTGTAGTCATTTGCGGATGAAAAAACGAAAATAACAGCCAAACAAGCAATTGACTTATCATTAAATCGATTTTATTAAAATTATCGATTTTATTTTATTTTACCGAAATTTATGTTATAATTATTCAATATTTATAATGTATATTTTTAATTGTTCTATTAATTTAAGTACAAACATTTTTCTACAATTTTTTTTCATTCGTTAATTGCAATTGAATATAATAGTTTGTTTAATAATAATATCAGTTAATCATTGAATATATCTACAACATAAAAATTTTCATATACCACCACTTGTTAATGTAATGAATAAAAATAACTATTGTTCTTTTATTACTATATAAAATTGTATATAATAGCTATTGATGTACAAGTGCAATGGCCGATTAAATATGACACTTAAATACGAGTTTTACTGGAATAATAGAAACGCTAAGTGCAGGTTAATTTCTGATTATTTTATTCGAATACTTTATTAAAAATACTATCAAAAGGAATAAAAATATTTATTTATAAATTTATGTATTGTTAAATGACGTTTGCTATGCCTAGTTATTATAATAAGTTGGTGAAATTTTTTTCATAAAATTCATGTAAACAGACTGTTTTAGGTTTAATAGATTTCACGAAAGTTTTACTATTCCTTTCATCATACAACTAATGATATTAATTATTTCCTTCGAGAAAATTTCCTACCAGCTTTGTATAAATATAAAAAGTACTTTATATAATTAAATGAATAAAGAGAGGACAGTTTGAATAAATATGACATTTTTCTTCAATCTATATTTAATTTGTAAATATAACTCATGGTTTGATTGACTGGGAAAAAAATATAAAGGCGAGACTACACTAGAAGAAAAAGAGCATCGCATTATTCTCATTACATATTCAGCACTCGTGGTGAAGTCACTTGGCTACGGAACAAATGGAAACCGACGGTCTTGACAAATATACTCGTATTTTCATACCAAGATCAGACTACTACAATGTACGTACCGTAAACGCCAACTATCTCAGGTAATCAGTGGATATGTGATATCAATACGTTAAAGTAAGCTATTTATAAATTTTATAAAAGTATGGATACGGGGTAGAAAATTACCGTTGGGGTTACCACGTAGTCATGAGTTTTTAAGATATTCAGACGGGCTAAGAAAGGCCAAGAGAGAAAGATGATATATATTATTTGCTTGGTAAGAGGGATATGGTGAAGCGGCAATTTTCAAGCGTCGGATGCATCCGTTCCTTTAGATCGATTGAATTTCAAACTTCAATTGGAGCAACCATCAATGGGGTTGGTGGTGCCACTGTACATTGTTCGCCGACTGGCACTTTCGCCAATACTAATGTCTGTGAAATTTTCTACTAATAATCCAAAAATATATTGCATCGATTAAAGCATATTATAGAAAAAGAATATCCGACTTGTTGATAAATCTAATTTCTTATATACGAAAGATTTTATAAATCTTTTAAACAAATTCTTCTTTTCAATAGAATAATATGACAAATATACATCGAGATTTGTTGCTTTGTCGCAATATAATTTTCATTACTATAATTCATTACTATATTCATTTTACTCTAGAAAAAATACATTTTTCAATCTTTATTCAATCTTACAACTAATTAAATGAAACTTTAACGCACGCAAATTATAAAAATTAAACTATAAAAAGGGGACATATTAATAAATGAATCATTGTTATATAATTATGCATTGGAGATATTCATATTCTTAAAGATTATAAAGAAAGGCTATAATTATGTTATTGAACCAGGACTTGGGAGATGCAGAAAAATGTAAATAAAAATAATATTTCAATAAATGTAAGCCTTTCAATTTCTATTAGCTCAACGAATAAAAAAAAAAAAGTTCACTATAAATTACTAGATGCCAAGGAGAGTAATAAAAATAGCTTGAAAAAAAAGAAAAAATTTCACCAGGCTCTATATGCCGTCGACAAGAAACGAAAAATAAAGAGTGAGCAAGGGTAAGAATTCTAATGAAACACAGACGATTTGCCTGCTGCACCAAATATTTCCGTTTTTCAGACATTCTTTTGCGTCTTATGTTCACGGTTACGTGAGTTATGAATAATCGTTTTTTGTGAGTTAATGCAAATGCTGCATTGGGCCTTATCGTATCACTAGTTTTATAGTGTAAATGTCGACGCAGACAAGACGATTAAAGAGATGAAAATCGCGAAATCACTCATAATAAAAATGTTGCGGGTATTATGGATACGCTTTGGTACTATAAACTTTATTGTCCTGTCGTTCCGGAGATGAAGAGAATGAGAGAAGCTATTCTTCCTTTTTTTTTATTTTTTTCTTTCTAAAGTTGTATCGATCGCGTTCTTCTTAATGTTGAATTGAGAAGGTAATATTTCAAAGTAGAGATGAAGAGATGGATTACGGGAGGATACGCTTTTATATTATAAAAATTTTCGAATCATTTAAAAGCTATTGGAAAGTTTGATAAAAAAAAAAAAGATAACTGTTGTCGAAGATAGTTATTTTGCTCAAATACAATTTTGGTTACGTTAATGTTTACATTATTTTAGAATTGAATACAAATATACAACTTTTTCGTATCATAAGTAACAAATGCACGCAAGCACACGGATACGTTAGAAAATATATAATAATAATATTAATAATATTTGTATAATGCAGTCACGATAAATATTTCAAATGGTATTATCTAATAGATAAATCAAAATTTTACAGTAAATTTTTATTATTAATTGAAAATTGTGCTTCATCAAATTCAATTGGATGTAAATTCTTATTGCAACGAGTATTGTTTAATTAACAAATAAAATTGTTTTAATTATCGAGTAATACTGTTTGTTAACAAGTATTGTAAGACAAATAAATATATAACAATCAAGGACATCCAATGAATTGTATATTTCTTTTATTTTTTATAATACGATTTATCATCCTGTAATGAATAAATTTATTACGAATTAGAACAAATTTTTCATTAATTAGATAATAAACATTAACATGCTACTAATTATAAGATTTTATTAATTAAAAGTTGAAATATGAATATAAATGAAAAACAATAACTATCGTCAATGTACTTCCTTTAAAAAACAAGAAAAAAATTCCAAAACATAAAAAAATACTTTCAAATGGCATAATACAACATAATGCAATTTCATGCTGCGAATTAAACAATTTAACACTATGTGATAATAGCTTTTACCCAATCTACGGATCTACCAGAATTCTGACGTACTTTAGGTGGTCTCGTTACATTTTCTGTATAGTACCTCCATTGCATACCTAATATCACAGCATTTCATTCGTCATAAGCTGTTTCAATTATATAATTAGTTTATATATGTATAAATTACATTTGATTTTAAACGATAAAAACATATCAATAAGTTTTTTAGAGAATTAAAAAGAATATTATATTAAATTTATCATGTTAAATTTCATAAAGAGATTCCATTATGAATATGCAAGAAATAATAATCTCTATTTGCAGAATAAATTGACGTTATTTTTGTATAATGAAAATATCGTATAGTTGGTAATAAATCGACAATGCGTATGAATTTATCACATGGCTTTCAAAATGAAAAAAAAGTAAAATAATTAATTTAGTTCTTATTCAATATCATCCAAGTGCGAATATCAGACACTTTAACCTTTTGCGATATAAATTTACGAATATTCAGAGAGAAATTCAGTTAAACTAAGATAGTTGCTATTTTGAAATCATAATTCATAAAAATTTTGAAGATAAATGTACAAATTTGGAATGTGACAACACGTACACGCGCGCGCGCAAAGGTGCAAATATCATTTAAATGTATAGATACTTATATAGTAATTGAATTTCATGGTTTTGATTCTAAATGTTTTTAGCAATTTTGCGTTCCTTATTCTGATATATTTAAACTTTCTAGTTTTTTATTTATTTACATAGTATGTGCATGCATATTTGTGATATACGATAATACATGAATATTTTAAATGGCGTCGTATCATAAAATAACGAATATAAATTATAATTATATAAATTCTCTAAAAAAAAATTTTATTGTTTTGGTGAACGTAAAATTTGAATTACAGTGACAGTTTTTACTTTCATGAAAAAAAAAAAAAAAAAAAAAAAAAATTACATAATGAAATGGAATTAAACGAATATATTTGTTTAATTGAAATATAAAGCTTTTTAAAGCTAACCATAAAAGTTTTTTTAATAAAATAATTTTCTACTGTTTTTCTTAATTTGAATATTATTTCATCGCGTAGATATTATTCCAATAATGTAAAATTTTGTCTTTTGCAATTGCATAATCAATCAATTTGTTAAAAGGTGTATTTAATATAATAATTGAAAGCCTTATATACTTATGAACATCATCTTACTTAATTCAATGGGATTTCTCTTGATTTCTTGATTTCTAATCTTAAAGTAAATACGACTGAATTTGTCAAATGTAAAATTTCTATGTAATAAATACTTATTGCTATGATTATGCATAGTTTAAAGATTAGAATTATTATGCCACCTCTATCTGCCTGCTTTAAAAATAAATTACAATTATGAACGAAGAGGTTTAAATTGAGCAAAGTCGATACTGCAATAATCGAAATGTGCGACACCGAGCTTCGCTACAGTTTGATGGAGGGAAAGGGAGACGTGCACCGTCTCTTTTTAAAGGATCACGAGCATCACTCACCCTTAATGAAGTCAACGGCCATTTCGAGGCCATAGGTGTCCTTGTCGCAGTCGTCGAGTATGTGGGCGCCAATCTTCACCCCGGGTACAATCTTGCCACTGTTGAGCTTGTCGAGGGTGTAAAGCATGGCCTCGAGTGCTTGCACGCCACCCTGGGGCATTACGGGCCCACAGGTATGGAAGTCCTCCCGTTCGTGGACCATCATTAAGCCGCCGAGAACGAGGTCGCCCTCGACGACGGCCTCGAGCTTAACTGGCCAGAAGGAACCGAGACCGTCGCGCGCTTGACTCGAGGCCAGCGCCCGGATGTGGAGCCACTCGCCGTGACGTATCGGATGGTGAGTCTCAGGGTTAAGTGGCCGCCACCTGTGACCGATGCCCGGCTCTTGGAAGTAGCGGCTCGAGCGCGGCTTTCTAGCTTCGTAACCGGCGCTCGCACCCAGGATCACCAACAGGATGACCAACAGCCTCATCGCGTCTTACATTACTGCTTTCTACATCACGAGGGGCGCGGATGTGCGGGGGTGCGCCGACCAGCGAGCCCACTTCTGCCTTGCATACTCCCTAACTCTTTTACTACTTAAGGTCGTAGCGAAACATCAACATAATAATTCGCGCTAAACTTTTAGTTCGGACGTGCGCGCCTTTCCGCTGCCAAAACTGACTTTGTCTTCGTTAATTTTGCCTCTGCCCGAGTTGCGCACCTCATGTTTTTAACACAGCTACGCGCCATTTAAGAATATTTCAGCGTTAAGCAATTCGAGTCTTCGTCATTTACTGTCAAAACATATATTACATTAATTCATCCAAACGAGTACTTTGGCTTTAATGTATGCTACTTTGAGGATGAATTTATACTAGGAATTTAAACTAATATATACTTAGTATATTATAAGGCAGGATTTGGCGATACTATACCCTTTTGAGACGTATTTACGTAAGTTATTGGTGTGAAATATGAAAAATTCATTTTTCCTTTTGAGATCATCGGCACGATAAATAATTTGTGAAAGAATCCACGATTATCCTCTACGGATAAAGATTTTGGATTTTATCTCTACATTTGGAAATTATGCGATCGCGTTGGTTGCTTTATCAATAAGAACGAATGTAATCCAATGAAGTAAAAAACTCTTGTTTAACAAAATCAATATACTTAAGCTTATAATTTAATTAAATAATTCTTGATGAAATTAATTAGTTAATGATATTTACGATATTATTTATAACAACAACAATAGCAACAGCAACAACATAAAAACTAAAAAAAATTACGCCATGATTTGTGATTTTATTAATTGATAATACGATACGTCCGTAAATTTTATAACATATTTTATTTGTATCATTATTGAAAAATGCATAATAATAAAGAATTAAAAGAAATTCAAGTCATTTCAAGAGAATTTCCATCTATTTACGTTTGATTAACTTTAATATATTACAAATAATTGCTTTATATAATAAAATAATTTATAATATAGTAATATAATATTATCGTAACATTTTAATGTTTCACTGTAAAACATTTTTGATTATTTTCATGTTTGCTTGAGGTTTTCTTTAAGTTAAATGGCGTATCAAATCGATCATCAACTTTTGAAAAGTATACTTCTTCAATCTTGAATTGATATTTAAGCGCGCATTCAGCAGTTAAATAGTTTTAAAATACAAAATAATTACTTTAATATGAATTCCGAGCTTAAGAAATATTCGATAATTTTAGAGTAATTTAGATTAAAAAAAAGATTTTCATTTTTGAGATATTTTATTATCGAAAGATTTTCTATATAAAAGCATATTTATATAACTTAAAGGCATATAAGTTTAATTGTTAATATTTATTTATTTATTTATTTATTTATTTATTATATATATATTTATTTATATATAGTTAATATTTATTTGATAAATGAAATTAAATATTGTACATCTAATTTAAACTAAAATTTCATAACATATTCCTCTGATAATGAAAATTAGAAAAATTAACGTTATTATTAAATAATATTAAAATATATTACATAGTAGCGATATGAAACGACAAAAGTTATTAAAAGAATTACATTTTGAATTTACGTTCTATTTACCGAGTAATATAGAAATTCTCTAATTTTACCAAACTATTACTTATTTTCGTTATTATAAATTTCGAATTTTTAAATTCAGGAGTTTCCTGTTTTTTTGGCACTTATAACACTCATAAGAAATGCTTTTATACATCTACTCATATAACAGGCAGACTTTTAATTATCCATGATTAAGAGGAACGAGCAAGACAGGAAATAAGTAAAAGATAAAGTTCAAAAATAGGAAAGATAAAGCCAACTTTGTTATTACATGCCTCAAATACAAGATTCTATTGCTCTCGTTAGGTCGTTATGATAAACGTGATCGTTTCATCATTTTACCTTTGCTCGGGTTTAAAATAAATAATACTTCCTTGCTACTCGACTTTTCATAAGAATCAAGGTATTAATTTACAATTCTTATTAACTAATAAATTGTTACTTAATTTTTCATAAAACGAATAATTAGATATAATCAATGTAGCACAAAATTAAATTCAAATGGACAAGTAAAAGTGTGCTATTACTTGAACTATTGCACATACGAGATTAAAATTTACAATTGCTTTTACATTAAGAGAACATTTACAGAGGCATTTTGTATAAATGTAATATGTTACGAGTATAGATTTAATCATTAATTTTAGGACCTTTTTAATGTTAAACTGATAATAAAATATATATGATAATTTATGTAGTTTTGACAGCTGTATGCATTATATTACTTTATCATAGAATTTAAATGTTGAATAACACAGAAAAGTTTTATTCGTGCCAAACATATCAAGTAGCACAATTTAAGATAAACTTCCAACTAACTTAGGATTCTTTAGTCACTTTTTTCAATTCAATCAAACGAATGGCGAAAAATGCTAATTCTATTGACACGGCGGTTTTCCATGTATTACGAAATAAAATATTTAAAAACAAAAGCTTCGTTAAGTATTTCGTGCATTTAGCTATAAATTGATCGAAACTAATTTCTCGACAGTAGCAAGAATATTTTAAGCGTAAACAAACACGATAAAATGTCATTAATTTTATTATTGTCATCATATTTGAAAAATACAGTGTAATAATATACCATTGTTATATTATTATTGTTACATTGTTATATTGTTATATAAAATGGAGATTAATAAGAATTAAATTTTCTTCATATACTACGAAGCCAACATATTTCCTTTCATTAGATTTCTAAGAAACTCAGTAATTATGAGCTTTTTTTTTTTATCCACAAGTTATAAAGTTAACGATAAAATTTTATGGTTTTAAAAATTTATGTTCCAGAAGATTGATTAAACTTATAAAACTTTAAATAAGTTTTTAACTAAAATGCAAAGACATGCATACAATAAAACATTATTAAAATATAATTTTATATACGGAATGTCACTGTACAATACATTAAATTTAAAGTGAAAATTCTCATAAAATATTTGTGCGGAAATTATAGTTCTATTATGATTAATTGTTGAAAGCGAATGAAAATAAAATAGAGAATATTATGGTGTAGTGACGAAAGAAAGACCGAGTGTGAATAATAGGAAGAAGTACTATTGTTTCCTCTGTCGATTGATTCGATTAAAAAATTTACAAAAATTAATTTCAGGAAAACTACTTTCTTTTTATTTTTATACTTTGTTAAATAATATATGACAGATATTTTTCAGCTTCTTACCGTCGTAAGAAGTACGCGTAAGTGATATTAACCCATTTAATTGGTTATCTAAACAAATTAATTATCTATTGTATGAATTTTCTTTTATATAGCAAATATTAATATAACTGCTGACAAATTTTATGTTTTCACTTAAAATAATAGATATCTGCGTCATTATTGATGAATGAATGAAAATAATCTAACTTTTTCTTAAGAAAACATACTCAATAATCAGTATTATTTGAACTATTATTATATGATTCGCAATTTCATATGATTATTTTATATTTAGCGAAATAGTACAGGATATTTTTAATATAAATAAATAAAATGCAAGACAAATTTTAATTTTCTTTAAAAATATTTCTCCGGTTGGAAATTTTATATTATTATCTTAAAGTTCTCTATAAAACTGTATTACGAACATAATTAATATATTTAAATTCACTTTTCAGTTAACCGTTCTGTCATTAAAAATTGTCCACGAATATTTTTCTCTTTTATTGATTAAAATATTAAAAGATATGTTTGATTAATTTAATTATTATCGCTGCTCTTATTCAGCATTTTTCAATTTAATTTTAACCACCAATTACATTATATCCTTGTTCACAAAAAATCCACATTGCTTTTTTGACTCCACGTTCTGCACATAATTTTCATAATAAATTAACGTAAACCAAATATATCACAACCACAATAGCTAGAACATAAATTGAATTGTCATGTAATAATTTAGTCCCTCGGAATCGGCAAGTCTATTCTTATTGGATCCGCGGCGACCAAGCACGAAAGACCCTCGTTAGGCAGGAATACTTTTTACTCTTAAAATATCTTCTCTTTGAAAGTTTCATGCGCTTATTTTGATATCCTTAGCATTAAATCGTTCACCATATGTTGAAAGAATATTTGAATTTAATAATGAAAAAATGTGATCAGACTGAAAATTTTCTAGCGCTATTAAAATACAAATAAATGACATTGAAGAAAGTTTGCAATCGACATTTAATATATAACAAAATGATAATTATCCCGTGAAAGAAATATTTTTTTCTAATTTTACAATATCAAAGCAGAAATTCGTAAATGTTATTTTGTATAATGATCTTGATGCTTTAAATACCATTAGATTTTATCTACAATTTATGAGATATCTGATTTTCATTTTACATTACAAAATTTTCAAAATTTACAAACAAAATGACGGTGTTTTCGTATTTTAAATTATCACTCTAAATAAAATTGCCTAAGAAGAGTCATTAATGAAATTACTAACCAATATTTGTAAATTTCAGTACATCATTTATTATCCTCTATTAGTTTGACAAAGGATAATAAATTATCCTGTCATGTATTAAATCACGAATAAAATCTAAACGTTCTTAATATTAATTTGTATATTACGTACAATATACTTTCGTATTTAATATTCAATTATTATAAATTAGAAAAA